GAAGGGAGCAGTGAGGGAAACCGATTTGAAGATGAAGGTATTTTCATTTTAATTGCATCTAATTACACTTGCCATGTAGGGGTTTGTATGCAGGGGGACAGCTCTGCCCCCTCCTTTCAGAAGAGAGAGAGAGGCTTTTAAATCCTAGGAAAAGCAAGGCTGGCTTCTGAAGCCGTGCACTGGAGACACCTAACTTTGCCCCGTTCTCCTCCCACCCGGCAGGCCGTCCACGAAAAGACGCGCATGCAGTTCTCAATCCGGCGTCCCAAGCTGCCATCCTCGGAGACCCACCCTGAGGAGAGCATGCACAGGAGGCTGGACGTGTCCGCCTGGCTCAGCCACCTCAATGAGCTGGGCCAGGTGGAGGAGGAGTACCAGTTGCGGAAGGTGAGGCCGGGCCCACCTGGCCGGGGACCAGGAGCCGGGAGGAAGGAGGGTGGGGCGGCTGCAGCCCTGGGACCTGCCTCGGGAGGGTCCCGTTCCCTCGTGTGAGGTTCTCTGTGAGGTTCAGCACCGATAAAGCAATCAAAGCTGCTGCATTGGAAAAAAAAAAAATCCCAAGCGGGTTTGGGGGATACCGTGTCAGCCAGCACAGAAGAGTTTGCAGAGAAATGCAGCATTTCCAAAACCAGGGATTAGGCCACGACGTGAGAACGACACATTAATCTGAGCGCCACCCCGGGGGGGCATTGACATTGAAATGAGCCGGTTTGTGTCCTGTATGGGAATTGAGGGCCGGTGCTTTCCCCTTGTAAACATGTGCAAATCACAGGGATCTGAATCGAGCCACTCCACAGCCACCGAAACACACATCTCTGGGGATCTGGGGGTTCTTTGAGCTGCCCTATTTTCTCTCCTCCCCAACTTTTGCGGCTTCCTCCAGGCCATTTTCTTTGGTGGCATTGATGTGTCAATCCGGGGAGAGGTCTGGCCCTTCCTGCTGTGCTATTACAGCCCCGAGTCCACGTCGGAGGAGCGGGAGGCGCTGCGGGCCCACAAGCGCAGGGAGTACGCTGAGATCCAGCAGAAAAGGTAACCGCCGGCCCGGCCGGCCCACCCCGCTGAACCGCGGAGGAAAATGCCATTTGAAGAGGCAATTTGAGGTGTAATTCAGCATTGATAATACGCTTCGTGACCCATGGTTTCTTTCGAAAATGGGTCTCCCAGGAGCGTGAGTGATAGGGTGGGATGAGAGCCGTCATTATGCCGGGGGCTTGGGCCTCAGGACTGTGGGGCTCGTTAGCTCACATGTCAAGCTTCTAGAATTCTTGTGCAACAGACTTAACCAGGCGCTGACATGCCACAGCTGAAGGCTGGACTTCGAGCAGGGCCTCGAGGGGAAGGAATTGGGAGTTTCAGGCTGCTAAGGCCCACGTGGCTTTACTAACCCTGGAGCTGCGGTCAGCTCTTCTCTCCACCAGGCTGGGACTGGAGGAAGCCCTGTTACCCACAGGGCTGTGCCCAGCTCCCCCCAGGACATTGGGGACTGGGCGAGGTCCCCCGTTACCCACTGAGCTATGCACCGTGGGGACGCTGGGACGGTGAGGCTGAGTCCATGCTGGGGAAAGCCATGGATCCATACTACTCACCCAAGCCACAGCTTGTCACCAGCAGCAGCAGCCCAGCTCCCACTAGGGCACAGGGTTGGGGGAAAGGCCCCTTCCTGGGCTGTGTACTGCCACCGCCCCCACGTGCTGCCCACTGACCTGGCCGGCGCTCTGCCCCACGCCAGGCTCTCCATGACTCCCGAGGAGCACAGAGCATTCTGGCGCAACGTGCAATTCACTGTGGACAAAGACGTGGTTCGGACAGATCGGAGCAACCAATTCTTCCGAGGGGAAGGCAACCCAAACGTGGAGAGCATGAGGTACCCACGGCCTGTGCCAGCACTTCCCCCCCTGTTCCTTCCTCATCTGCATGTTGGGGGGCCTTGGCTGACCCCCTGGGCACGGAGCCTAACAGTGGCTTTCTGCAGGGTCTTTCCTCCATATTCATACAATGAAGGCCCCGCAAGTGGTGGATGAGCTCTGCATGGGCCATTGCATCCCAGGGAAGCCACTCAGGTCCCTCCTGGGAGTGCCAGCAAAGCCCCCTACCCCCTGGGCACCCATCCAGACTGTCCTTGCTTGGCTCACACCAAACATGGACGAGCCTCCCCATAAGTCCTCTCCATCTCCCAATGGGTGGTCCTCCAGTGACCAAGACACACAGGGCCAAAGGCTGGCATCTTTGACATTCTGCAGCAGCCTCGCAAAAAACTGCACAAAATAAGCAATCTGTAAGAACATCCCTGCCAGCCCGCCCTTGGCACAGGCAGTCAACCATGAAGAAAATCAGACCCTCGTTCCTCCGTGCCCCCTGCTCTCGAGGCTCTGGGGCTGGCCAGCAGCCGGTTGCAGGCCATCACCTTTTGCAAAGCAAGGGCTGTTGTCTGGATCTAGAGCTTGGGCTCTCGAGACAGACACAGAGCTGCCCGGCACCTGCGATCAGACGCTTCCTTCCTCCGAGATCAAGGCGAATGAGGGGGCCCAGACAGCTGGGGTCTTCAGCCCGGGGTTCTGTGGGCCCCCCACATGCCACAGTGAGGGCCATAAGGGCAGGTTGGGCCATGCCCACCCTCTGCACTCTTCCCACCTTGCCAGGAGGATCCTGCTGAACTACGCTGTGTACAACCCAGCCATCGGCTACTCCCAGGGTATGTCGGACCTGGTGGCGCCCATCCTGGCCGAGGTCCTGGATGAATCAGACACCTTCTGGTGCTTTGTCGGTTTGATGCAGAACACGATCTTTGTCAGCTCTCCTCGGGACGAGGACATGGAGAAACAGCTGGTGAGGCTCGAGGACACGAGTGTGTACACGCGTGTGTGTGCGAGCGTGTGTATATTGGAGGGCCCTGGGGGAGCCCATACTGCTGTCTCCTCTTGCTGCCAGGGGTCTCGTGGTGTTGTGTGGCTTCGCTGTTGTGGGTCTGCGGGCAGCAGGGATACCAGGACAGGCGATTCTGGTGGGATGTGAGCAGCTTGGCCCCAGGCTCCAGGGAAAAGCCAGCTGCCTCCAGGAGGGACGCTTTTCCAGGTCTTTGGGGATGGTCCCCCCTCACCCACACACGCTCCCTGCAGGACCAGAGGCTGGGCTACAGAGACACTCCCCTGGTGGTGTCCCACCCTCCTGCACGTAATGACCAGCCCAGGTTCCCTGGCAGGCAGGGCAAGGAAGGGGAGGCCCCATCACACCCAGCCCTGTGAGTTATGAAATGGATCCTCAGGTGCACAGGGCTGCACCCTGCAGGAATTCAACACAGCCGAGGCTCCTGGGTGAGGACAGGAACAGAAGGGGCTCCTGATGCCACCTGAGGCACCCAGGCAGATCTCACATCCCCACCCCAAGGACAGTTGGCATGCCTCCCCTCGAGGCCTCTCCAAAAGGATCAGCCATATGGAGGCCAGGCAGCGCTGAATGCCAGGGGAGGCAGAGCTGGGAGGGCCAGCGTGCAGTCCAGGGACCCAGTTCACATTCTCGCTCCTTGTCATCTGTGTGTACCAAACACCTGCCAGGTGCTGTTGCCAGGCACTGGGACATGATCCCACCCTCCCATCCATGAGAAAGCTGGGACTGGAAGCTGACCATGTGGCAGAGGATGCCGGGCACCTGGGGAGTGCTGCAGAAAGTGCCGGGTAGACAAGGACGGCAGGCATCCCGGGTCCCTGGACGGCCCGTGGGGTCTGGCCCTGAGGTTCAGCTGAGCAGGGCATTCCGGGTAGTGACCCTGAGTGGCCCGGTCTTGCTGGACCAGACGTGTCATGAGCAGTGAGGGTAGAGCCAAATGGGGCCCTCTTACTCCAGGGCCAAGGAGTGGAACTAAGCCGAACACAGGAGAGGACTGAGGGTGAGGGACCGGGAGCAGGGAGGTGTGGGCAGGAAGGTGAGGGCTATCCTGGCTGGGGCTGGCGGTGAGGCATCCGTGAGGGGTGTCAGCTGCATGTGTGAACTTGACCTTGATGTGGGCAGCAGGGTGGAGAAACTGACCAGGTGGAAGGATCCTCGGAATCCTGCAACCAGCTGTGCGGCTCCAACTGCTGTCCCAAGTAGGAACAGTGGGCCATTGTGTAGGTGGGGGTGTGGCCCCAAGCCCCCGGATGTCCCCAACTGTGATTTAGCCCCACCTGTTCACGCTGACCCCAGCAGGCCTGCTCACTCTGTGTCATCCTGCGTCTGTGTGACGTCAGGTTTCCACGGCACCTGGGAAGCAGTTACAAGGCCTGACGCCTCTCACCCCTGATGGCTTGCAGCAGCACATGGCCAGGTGACTCATGAGCTGCCGGAGACTGATGTTCCAGTGGCACTGGTGAAGTCAGCAGCCCGAGCCCAGGCGCTGCCAGAAATAGCCTTGATATTGTCCCACGTCACAGGGAGGTGAACTTATGCTCAGGAATCGAGCGTCCTGGGGCTCAGACACATCCCCTGCCAGCTCTAAATCAGCTCTGGAACGTGATGGATCTCGGTGACCGGAGCGGAGGGGGGTTGAGTGGGGGTCCCATGGATGACCTGCTCCCCTTGCCAGGAGTGGTGGGAGTTAGAAACAGCCCCTGCTTGGCGGCTGAGAGCGGTTGTCTTCCCGGCTGTAGAGCCACTCCTCTGCCTTGCCATGGCCTCCTGAACAGTCTTAGGTCGGGGACAACCTGGCAAAGAGAGGTGTGAGCCAAACTGCAGCGGCAGGATGAAATAAGCTGGCGGCAGATATGCGTACTGGGCGGGGACCCCCTGTGTGTGCTTTTCAAGGTTGGGGCGGCTGCAGAAAGGGCCCGGTGGGAGTCGGCTGTCTGGGCCAGGTGGACAGGCCTGCACGGGCCCGGAGCTGACGTGTCCCACCCTGCTTCCAGCTGTACCTGCGGGAGCTGCTGCGGCTGACGCACCTGCGTTTCTACCAGCACCTGGTCTCGCTGGGCGAGGACGGTCTGCAGATGCTCTTCTGCCACCGCTGGCTCCTGCTGTGTTTCAAGCGGGAGTTCCCCGAGGCCGAGGCGCTGCGGATCTGGGAGGCCTGCTGGGCCCACTACCAGGTGAGCCGGCGCAGCACGGCTGGGACCACAGCCCCTGAGCGATGGCCCCCTTCCTGTGGCCAGCCTTCGAGGATGGCAGGGTGCAGGCATCACCATGCTCCTCCTCAGGGGTCCCCCTCCTCCCTGCCCCCCCATCCAACCACCCACATACCACACGTCAGCCTCTCACGCAGCAATGACTTTCTGGTCCCATGTGGCTGGATTCAGACCTTGCAACTCACCTCCCAAGTAACTGAAATCCATGCAAATTGCCCACTGACTGTGCTCATTACCACGTTCTGGGGCTGAGCTCCCTCCTGTCACAACCAATCAGTGTGAGAGACATCAGTGGGGCCGAGAGAGGCCATGGCAGCTCGGGACTGTTCTGCCATGGAGGTCCAGCTCGCCCCGCCACCCTTCTGCTCAGGGAGAGGACTGGAGATCCTGCTGCCCCACAGCCCCTCGGAGAGCCCCAGATCAGTGCTGCCAACTCCCACTTGTCCTTGACCTTCATCCATGTCCCCTCGGCAAATGCCCCGACTCTGTCCCATGGCCTCAATGCCCGAGCTAGGGACAAGCTGGCGGTGTTAAAGGATAGGCAAGTCTCTTTGAATCCATCAGCCTCTAAAAAAAATAGTATCAACGCATCCAGGAGGGGAGGACCTTTCCACGAGAGCGGGCTCCATGCTCCATTCTCCACTGCGGAGCTTCCATGAGACAAGCTTGGTGGAGAGAGATGAGCGCCCGCCGGCCCAGGGAGGTTTGCGCTGGCATTTCCCACCCTTACCACTGTCACAGGGGATTCCAGCTGATGAGAGTGAGCCAGAAGAAATGAATGAGCGAGGCTGGTCCACGAGCCGCCTTTGCATTTACTGGTCCTGGCCTGCTGGGTCTGGGCTGCGTGTCCTGCCTGCATTAGCATGCTTGACATGGACAAGGGTGAAATATCTGTACCAATAAAGGGAAGCATGGCACGGATGGTCCAAAATGCTACATCTTCTGCGTTGCAAGTTTTTCCAAAAGCAAATTCACCACCCTTGTTCCGTTACATTTAAGCTAATGATACCAGTGAGCCCCGAGCATCGCCCAACTGGCGGGGCCATTTCTCANTAGAATTCTTGTGCAACAGACTTAACCAGGCGCTGACATGCCACAGCTGAAGGCTGGACTTGGAGCAGGGCCTCGAGGGGAAGGAATTGGGAGTTTCAGGCTGCTAAGGCCCACGTGGCTTTACTAACCCTGGGGCTGCGGTCAGCTCTTCTCTCCACCATGCTGGGACTGGAGGAAGCCCTGTTACCCACAGGGCTGTGCCCAGCTCCCCCCAGGACATTGGGGACTGGGCGAGGTCCCCCGTTACCCACTGAGCTATGCACCGTGGGGACGCTGGGACGGTGAGGCTGAGTCCATGCTGGGGAAAGCCATGGATCCATACTACTCACCCAAGCCACAGCTTGTCACCAGCAGCAGCAGCCCAGCTCCCACTAGGGCACAGGGTTGGGGGAAAGGCCCCTTCCTGGGCTGTGTACTGCCACTGCCCCCATGTGCTGCCCACTGACCTGGCCGGCACTCTGCCCCACGCCAGGCTCTCCATGACTCCCGAGGAGCACAGAGCATTCTGGCGCAACGTGCAATTCACTGTGGACAAAGATGTGGTTCGGACAGATCGCAGCAACCAATTCTTCCGAGGGGAAGACAACCCAAACGTGGAGAGCATGAGGTACCCGCGGCCTGCGCCAGCACTTCCCCCATTCCTTCCTCATCTGCATGTTGGGGGGCCTCGGCTGACCTCCTGGGCACAGATGAGCCTAACAATGGCTTTCTGCAGGGTCTTTTCTCCAAGTTCATACAATGAAGGCCCCACAAGTGGTGGATGAGCTCTCCATGAGCCACCGCATCCCAGGGAGGCTACTCAGGTCCCTCCTGGGAGTGCCAGCAAAGCCCCCTACCCCCTGGGCACCCATCCAGACTNAAAATACTATATAGATGAGTATTTGGGATATAAAAACGAACACAAAATAACATTAAAGAGACCTTTGGGCAGACTCTTTGATAAATCCTAAACAACAAGAAGGGAAAAAAAAGGAAGGAAGATGGGAGGGAGGGAAGAAAGAAGAAAAACTATAGCATAATTTATTTATTTTGGTAGTAGAAAGATCAACCATGAACCTGTGAGTTATGAAGTTGCATTTCTGGTGCTAGTTAAGTTTTTACTAAGCTATGTTACCTTTGTAATACCTTTGTTCTCTTTGTGATTCAGTTTTTGTTTTTTGCTGCTGCTGTGTGTGTGTGTGTGTGTGTGTG